GGTGGCGCCCCCCTATTGGAGGGTCGCCTGCCCCTAGCCGAAACCCCTCCACATAGCGCCCCTGTTTTTAACCCTGTCCCCATCCCAAGATAGGGAGATTTATTCAAGCTAGAAACATACTGTTATCAATGTATATTGTTCTTTTAACGCAAATGGAAAGGGTTTTTCCGTCATTCTAAAAACTACGCCTTAACTTTGGAATAAAAGGTTGAGGAAGGAGATTTTGGTAAAATGATATTTGCAATGTTGTGGCTAAGTTTCTCGTAATTCTTGTACAAGTCAGATGTGAACGGCGTTTCTGCCGTATGACAATGAAGCTTTAATATGGGGAAATAAAAAATTAAAAAACAAAATTTTGATAGGGAGATTTTGGTAAAATGATATTTGCAATGTGGGGTCTAGTAATTCTTGTACAGTACAATGCAGATGTGAAGGGCGTTTCCGCCATTTGATAATTGAGCTAGAATATTTGGAAATTAAAAAATTTGATAGGGACATTTTGGTAAAACGAGATTGTTGTTTGTTTTGGCGCTCAACTCCAGCGAAATATTCTAAGTGGAGGGACTTCCAAAATTTCATTAAAATTTGGGGTTAGAAATAGAATCTTTGAACCACAATTTTAATCAATGTCGTGTCAAGTCTATCAAGAATATTCAAATGTGCATCGCGTTGAGCTTTCATATGTGTCGTGTTACTTGTTTATACTTTATACAAATGTAATCAACATGTATCATTAAGAACGGTATTATTAATATTGATAGTAGAAATTAATGTATGTCCATCGACTTACTTGAACGTATTAAATAAAAATTAATAATATTTGATAGATTTTTACTACTAAAATTTAGATGGTATTAATATATATATATATATATACAGCAATGCTACCTGCACAGGCTCTGTGCCCATGAGATCCACATATGGGGTTCACCCCCCATGTGAGATACCCTGTACAGGCCATGTTGCATAGGGTCTGTGCAAGAGGCATTTCTATATATATATCCAAAGTTGACTAGGAACGTTTTATTTGCACAATCTTTCATAGTAATATTAGATTAAGCAACCAATTCACGTACTGCATTTGCTTCAAGATACAAAACTTGGCCATGTACTCCGATTTACAATCAAGTTCCCTTTTCATGCAAAGTGGGCTCAACACAAGTCACCATATTGAGGCTAAAGATTCATCGCTAGCATATCATGTGTAACTTTACAAATCAACGCCATCATATAATTTAGATAAAAATCAGATTTTTAGTATATTCTCGTAATAATTGATGGAATTTGTAGTTGAAAAAGTTATGAATCCTATAAAATGTATGGATAAAATTAATTGTTAATTTTGACAAAATTTTAATCAACAATATGTGAAAATTGATAACGAAACTTGTTCATAAATATCTTTGCGATGGCCTTATATACAACATGAATATGTTTGAAATGTTGCAGCCTATTGCTAGATGGGCTTGTGCTAATTGGTGGTCAGGTCAGGAGCATAGTTTAAAAGAGCATGCTCCGAATTGAAATTGTCACAAATGTTGTCTATGTAAATGTTAGTGTTCTGTAGTAGTGGTAAGGATATAATTAGCTCTGTCTATTCACATGACATTTGTGAAAATCGCAGTGAATAAATCTAAGGGAGCAGGAAGAAGGAAGACCATCAGATCGCTAAAGAAGGAGCAAGTCTATTTTTCGCCCCCAAGGCACATCTCCAAGTGGTAAAAGGGGAGAGTGGAGAAATCCAACTTTGCTTGAGACTGTCGCGTCAAGAATGCAAATCCTGAAATATAGATTTGGCTTTTGGGTAAGTGCAAGTGTACAAGCAACCTTCCACCCTATATCTTTGGAGGCATAACCTGCAATTTACCTCCTTCACGATACTCCAATGCAGAGGCGGTGGGGGACCCTTAAGGTTGGGGTTCAACCCTTTTTTTTTTCTTTTTTTTTTTTTTATTTAAGGAGCAAGTCTATTTTCCGCAAATTTGGTCCGCTTTGCTTGGTGCATATGCATATTTATACATGAACCAAAACTATTGATCAAGTTATTGACCGCAGGAGACTATGGGTTGTGTAGTGGAGTGTGGAAGAAAAGGGACAGCACTTGAATTTCTCACTGAATGTGGAAAAAATGATTATTACTAGTATTGGAATGAATACCCACATATTAAGGTCATGTTTGAGCCGTATTCTTTCAAAAAAAAAAAAAAATCTTAAACAGTGATTTGATATTATTTCAATCACACATTTTTCAATAAAATAATATTACACACAAATATAAAATTTTTATCTCATTTTTTAATCATACATTCTCCATCAATCTGCTATTCCAAAATACATTCTTTCAAAACGATGTGACTCAAAGACACACTAATAATATTTTTCTCAAATAGTAGTTGTAGATGTTTAATTTCTCGTCTTGATGATTGAAGGCTGAAGACACCTCTTGCCATGCCTCTATTTCCATCTTTTGAGATGGAAACAAATGCCTCGGAAAATGGTAATTCAGTGAGAGTACCAATCATTTCGGCCTTTTTCACGGGTTAGTCTCCAAATGTTTGTCACTTTTCTTATGATTAGAGGTGTAAAACGAGTCAACAAAATTACCAAATATAAAGGAAACAATGCATGGTCAGTTTTCAGGCAATTCAGAGGAAGTGAAAGCCAACACCGATAGATCAACATCACCTAATCCAAAACCAAAAACTCCAGAAAGATATAAAACCCCGAATGGAAGGCTGGCTATTTCTTCAACACACGAAAAAGACGCACCAATTATAAACCAGGAAAGGAACCGTCCAATCACACTTTGGTCGACTATTTCGTTAGCTAACAAGAAAAAGTTGAAAAATGCACCCATGCTAGACCAGAAAACGAACCAATCCAACCCACTTGTTATCGAAAAACTGCAAACTGGATCCAGTCCAGTAAAATCATTCAGCCACAGAAGGTGACGAGAATCTTGCTAAGGACAGGGAAGCATTTTAGTAAAGTTGTTTACGTCAAACAAAAGATCACGAACCAGTAATTGTAGTCTTAATTATTATCTAATTAAGCCCTTGCATGATTTTGATAAATATTATATTTTTAGTAGATTTTGATTTAAAAAAAATGATAGAATATATAGTGGAAAAGTTGTGAATTCCATAAAATATGTTGTTAACTTTTTCCAAAATTTTAATCTAATTTTTTAATTGAACCAAGCATGTGTTTGTCCCACATTTTTGCTTGACTAAAATGAGGAAATTGAACATTAGTTTGACACCATGGGTCCTCCAGTGCAGTCCCATTTACTGCAGTTTTTACTCCATTTTCCCACATTTGCCCTTTGAATTTTGAAAGGATGCTTGAATCTTTCCTACTTTTGGTCCAATTCAATGAGGGCAAAATGAGGAAGGTGTGATAATTTATAAAAAAATTTAACCCCAATCTTGAGGGGCATATCGTCCCGTCTCTGGAGTATCGTAAAGGAGGTAAATTGCGGTATGTGCTCCCAGCAGGCCAAAGAACAGGAGTTTGCTCATACACTGGTGTCCACAAAAAGTCTAATTCCATATCTCAGGAATCGAACCCTCACACTACGACTACCAGTAAGGTTGAGACTACCTCAATCCTATCTTTTACACCACTGGATTATGCCCTCGGGGCAAGGTATGATAATTTATATACATACGAAATGATGATCATGCAGCTAGACCCACCACGATTTGACATGAAAATGCATTAATAGGATAAAAATGGAGATCAAACAGGGGCCAAATATGGAACAAGTCTGAGAACTTGTAATGCATATAAAAAGAACGAGAATAGTGCAAGTTGGTATATGAGAAACGAGAAGTACTTGTAAAGAAAGTAAAACCTTAAGATGTTATAATCGAAATTTAGGATTCTATTTTAAAGGAAATTGTAACCTGACTAGGAAACCTTCCTACTAATAAAAGTGTCCAAGTCTACTTAGTTTCTTACCCATTGCAACACATTTCCACTGTGATTAATAAGAATTATCCATCACTGAGATGTCCGGTTACTTGACGGCTAAAAGTGTGATAATTATGGATAACATATTTTATAGTTGTTAAAAGAGTCAACATTGTGAATGAATCTTGGTTTCTATGATATTAGCAAAATATTCGTTGTATTATATCTATGTGCAATGATTATATGACAGATTATAAAGTGATCGTTGTCCTCTTTTTGTCTTAAAAAAATAAAAAATACTCTTCTCATTTTTAATCCAGTTTAATATTGTGCTAACTTACGCTTTTGAACACTGGCATGTTTCCAAAAAAAAAAAAAAAAGGTTGAACCCCAACCTTAAGAGTTCCCCACCGCCCCTGTCCTGGAGTATCGTGAGGGAGGTAAATCGCAGGTTATGTCTTCAAGGGTATATGGTGGAAGGTTGCTTGTACATTGATATGTATCCAACATTGTGTGGAGGGTTGTGACTAGAGGAACTGAGAGGATGAAAGGTGGGTCCTACTGCCAAGATAAGCTATATTTCAACTACTTCTGTAACATTTAAAATGAGCCAAACAAGCTCCAGGTAGTGCGGGATTCTATAATTCACAAAAAATACCTTGAAAATATTGCCTCACCATTAAAATTTAGAAAGTCCTTATTTTTATGGAATCGACACCAATACCAGTAAGTACCCTCAAGATATTCAAACAAGGCATTTTGGAATTAATCTGGGACTTGAAAAGGGAAATAATTGCATAGGAGTAGAAATATGTTCACATATTAGATCTCGTAAAGGAGCAAGCACGAAATAAAAATTAAATTTCTATATGGTCTTTTCCTAATCCTTCTATAATTTCTAAATAGGAAAATGAAATATTATTTTAAGTGGCTGAGTCTTAAATAATCAAATGGATTTATTACCTATCCGACTATTCCGAGTTTGAATCCCGGATAACCCTTATAACGGAATTTCAATCTATATCAGTACCATAATATCAAATTGATAAAAGTCAAAATATGAAAAAATTGGCACCATAACGAAATTTCACTCGACTTCGTCGGCTATTTATTTTAGTAACTAGAACAATGAATAATTCGTAAAATGTATTTACATTAGAATTCACAACTGCACTTTAGCAAACTTGCATTAACTACAATGTTTACTTCGCTAAAATGTTCATGAAAAAGACAAGGAACGTGCAGTCCGAATCAAACTCAGATCATAAATGGAGTCGGGGAGAATGTTGGCAACGCCATCGAATGGTTCGATTTCCTGCAAATTAACGCATAAAATTTGTTGCCATCATCATAAAAAAAATACGACAATTAAAATTTTTATTAATTTAAACGTCTCCTCTTTATTCATACTGAGACTTACCAGTAGTTGTCAAGGTGACTTGGTGGCGGTACAACCTGAGTAGTAGATTTAGGTTTGACTTTATGGTTACGATCAGATCTGGCCGTCCGTTGGTTTAGATCAGAAATTGGACGGTCTTCAGAAATTGCATGAAGATTGGGTTTCCAATTCCTGCAGGGTTTGATTTTCCTTACTCCACTTGCAGCATGTTCATGGCTGAAGTTTCTTGGCCAGTGCTCCACCTCTTGCCCACTAATGGTGGTCTCCGCCGCCGGACTCACTGTGGCTCCACCCCAACATAAAGCTAACTTGGTGAAGAACTTCATATCAAATGAATTTTCACTAGTTCTGTGAGTGCATAGGAGTTTGTATGTAACTCTACTAGATATATAGGAGGGATGGTTACCTGTCTTGCTACATGTACACTTTTTTTGATATTAAGTTTAATAGTATGCCACTTGTTGTACAACGAATGACAGTTTTAAAATGAAAAATACTTTTCCACCTATTCATTTTTGAATTTGTAAGTAATATCAAACTTCATGTACAACATGAAGTGTACAAGGAGCTTGCAAATTGGACGGTCGATTTTCTGCAATCATCATAAAAAATACGACAATTAAAATTTGTATTAAATATCTCTTCTTTAATCATATTATTGATACCTACCAGTAGTTGTCAAGGTGACTTGGTGGCGGTACAACCTTAATAGTAGATTTAGGTTTGACTTTATGGTTACGGTAAAATCTTGCTTCATGTACACTTATTTTGGACATTGATTGCAAATTCAAAAATGAATGGACGGAAAGTTAATTTTCATTTTAAAAATGGTCATTCATTGTGCGACAAGTGACACAATGTCAAAAAAAATGTACATGTAGTAAAATTGTTTCTCTTTATTTGTTGTCAATCGTGGTTTCGCTTAGCCGCCGTTCAGCACGTTGTTATTGTATTGGGTCAAATGATTTTTAATATTATTTTCTTTGGGAAAAATTGCAGCTACCGTCTCCAACTTTTTTTTTGCACTTCTATCCCTAACTTTTAAATTTTGGCAATGTTATTCTCAACCTTTCATTTATTGGCATCATCTTCCCATGTTGACGGATTCCATCCAAAAAATCTATTAATAAATCATGTACCACTCAAGCCAAAGGGAACTGATGTCAAGCTCAAAATATTATTTATGTAATCGTGGTTATGGAATTTACCATTACCCAAACATACCAGATTGACAATTGGGTTTTATTTTCTTCTCCATTATACTTCATTTCGATTCTTACATGAAAGTGTATATTTTCCTAATTTTGAAGAAAAAATTGGTTAATAGAAGTTGAAATTTACTTCAAGTCGATATATTCATATATATTAGTGTCAAGGAGCTTTAATAAGCAAGATTAGAGACGCTAAAATGAAAGACACACTTAATGCTAGGCTTTCGTTGTTGGTCCGGCTCAAATGATAAATTGAGGTACTTTTCTTAGTCATTTTAGTTGTGGCGAGCCCTTAAGATGACAACTTACTTGATTTTTTGTTTTTATTTATAAATTTTTGTCTTCTTCTTCTTTTTTTTTTTTTTTTTTTTTTTTTTAAATTTTTTTTTTTTTTTTTTTTTTTTTTTTTTTTTTTTTTTTTTAACACTTGTTATAGATTTAGATAGTATTTGATGCACTTTGCTTAATTTATCATGTGAGTCACACATTACTTAATTGATTCTTAGATGGAATCCTTTAGTACATGGTAGGGAGATTAGGCTTCACTTAGTGAAAAATATGGCGTCAAAATAAAAGATTGAAAAAAGAAGTGCAAAAGGAAATGAAAGTTGAGAACGCCGATTGCAATTTGTCCAATTATCTACGTAAGATGAGGGTAAACGTCCTCAAGTAGCACTACTAGATACTAAATTGGAGCAGCCTTTATTTTATATTCAATAAAAAAGTAACTATGAAATTACAATAAGATTATCTATAGATCAAGATGAATATTAATGACTGTTTACGAAAGTGAATCCTACAATTTTTTATAATATTAAGAATAAAAAAGGGTTAAAACTTCAATGTAATGTTTCATTGTGTTAATCAAGGGCGGATTTAGAGGCCCGCGAGCTAGGGTGGCCGCCATAGCTGTATTCGTTGAAGGGATTTTTTTTTTTTTTTTTTGCTGATAATAGATAAAATTTTAAGATTATATATTTGATAATTCATATTAACAACAAATTTTGTGTTAGCTTAGTTAGTTAGTTAGCTCTTTCATTATCGATGAATTGGAGGTTTTGTGTTCAAAACTCTTCAAGGGCAATATTTTTTATAATTTTTTTTATTTCAACAATTTTTATCAAAACAAATGTAAGGAATGTGATTTGCTATTTTCTTTAAACATATTAAAAACTTTACCATCATGACACTTATTGATTTTTAGCACATAATGTAACAAAATAATATATGTTCGATTTTATCGGTTTAATACAAGTAGAAACATTTTAATCGGTGCTTCGTCCCTTTTCTTGATTTCCTTTTTATTTTCTTTTTTTTCCTCTGATCAATTGATTTAAGAATTTAGTCAATTAATGGTGGATGAATTTGTAAGAAAATTGGTCTCAGTGTCATAAGAAATCTTTCAACAAAACTTATTTAATTAGGTTCCACTTTTCGTGCACAAAAAATCTATTGCGAGAAAATGGAATCATACAAGCACATAAAATTGATTTAAGCACATAAATAATTCAATTTTATTAATATAATAATGGTTGTTTAATTAACTTTAATTGCAAACTGAATATTGACATTTTGTTAATATATATTGCCTATTTAATGAAAAATAAATTAGAGCATTTTTCAGATTATGGAACGATTTTTTTCATCCAAAATGAAAGTTCGTATATAGTTCTAGTTTTAGTTCTAGTGGTGTATTTAGTTCTTCTAATTTTAATTCATATGATTTTTTGAATATTATTTAATTAAATATTAATAAACAACCCCACTATCACGGACATTGGTCATCAATAGTAAGCATTCAACGCTCGCCGTCCACCCTAACTGGACTCAACCCTAGGATTCACTCTAATGTTAATATTGTATATTACCCATACTAGATGCGACCGAAAGCCTGCGTGTCTTTATGTGATCGAAAGCCACAAAGGCAAATGTAGTCGCATAGGCCAAAGTTTTGGCCTCCAAATACTTTTTTTATTCCAAAACCCAATTTATTGATTTTGAAAAATAATTTCAACAATTTTCCACTTGTTCAATATTCAATAAAATTTCATATTCAAAATATACAATATTCATGCGGAAGAAATAAATATCTTTCGATTTGAATCTAACCATAATATAATTAGAACAAAATAAAGTTGAAATTAAAGATAGCAAGAAAGTTTTAAACTAATAATTTCTTGTGAGAATATCGGTAAGAACACATACAAACAAGTATCACATGGTTTCAAGTTTTTCAATCTCGCTTAGGGCTAATATAGCCTTACGCTCATCTCATTCAACGAACTTTTAATAGAGAAACTCCAACTCTCTATTGAGGCGGCACTACCTTGAAGTTCATCTGGTGAAATTCTTCTAGTGTCTTTGTTACTTTTAGAAATACTTGTACTTTAATATTGAATTTTGAAGAACCCTCATTCAAGTAACAACCAACATTATATTATTCGGATATGGTTATCGTGGATTGTATAATGTTGAAACTATTCACATATCGAATGACTTTGTTGTTGCCCTTTGAACCTATGAATTATTTGTTAAGCAATGATAGGTAAGGTTGTCATCATTGGCGAATCTTTTATTTTAAGAGTTTCAATCACATCGTATTCAAAGTAAATATTACTAAATCTCTATTTAAAAGTTAAGTTAATGGATTCGTAAAATTCTCAATTGACTTAAACATAATTTAGAAAAATTATTCCACTCTTGATTAATTTTCTAATGTAGTCATGTCTATGACTCATATGTTCAGATTTTCATTGTATACCTTATTGCATGTCTTTGCTAATGTGGCTTGAATATCTCACATGATGGATATTGTAGACGTATTCTTCGGTCTCAAAGGTATTTCATAAAGAAGATCATCTAGCCACTTAAATTCTTTCTCAGTATTTGACAAAGTTATAAATTCAGATTTCATAGTTGAGAGTATAATACATATTTGTTTATTTGATTTCCAAGAAACACCACCTCCTGCAAGAGTAAACACCCAATCTAAAAGTAGACTTACTTTCACCCATACTAGATATCCAACTAGTATCGATAAAATCCTTCTAATATAGTTAGGAATTTATAATATTTTAGACCTATGTTCTTTTTTCTTTTTTTCTTTTTTTAAATAGCCAAGAACTCTTCCAATGGCCTTCGAGTGTTCCTTGCTCATATTATAATAAATCTACTAACTTTACTAATTGCAAATGTTATGTCCGATCTAGTGCATTGAACTGCGTATATTAGACTTCCTATAGCATTTACATACTCCAATTGAGCAATTTCTCTTCCATCATTTTTTATAAGTTTTAAACTTAGATAAAAGGAGTGTTGAATTTTTTTATGTTCAAATATTTGAACTTATTAATCACATTCTTAATATAATGTGATTGACTTAAGAAAAACCAAACTAGTTTTTTGTAACTTTGATAACCAATATGGTATCCACTTGTAGAAGATCTTTTCGTCTTAAATGTGGAACATAGAAACTTCTTCATGTCTTTGATTCCATCCATATTGTTAGGAAAATGTTGTAATTGGCAATCTGTGACCAAAAGGACCAATTTGTCAAGTTTGTAAAGTCAAGGACTAATTTGTAAAGGTCTAAAAGTTCAGGGACTTGTGTTGCAATTTAGCAAAAATTATGGTATAGGTCTAGGGTAAAGTTGGGTGCCTTGAAGATGAAAACGGTGCTAGATCAAGCTAGAGTTTCGCCCCGACCTCGCTCGAGCCTAAATAACAGAACCTATCTCGCTAGAGTTTTGCCACTGCTTCGCTCGAGCGAAAGTGCGTCGCTAGAGTTTCGCCTGCACTTCGCTAGAGTGACAGTGCTATTCGAATTTCGGTAATTTTCCTTCCTTGCAATTTTTAGACACTTCATACTACCAAAAACGACCTCATATATATTCAAAAGTCCCGTTTTTCATACACAACCTTTGAAAAAACACAATTGAAAGATTTTTCCTCTCAACCAAAGGATCAACTTCATAATTCCTTCTTTTCATCATATGTTTTATTGAAGAAAAAATATCAAACACCTCTTAAAACAAAATACCTTTCAAAAATCCTCACTACTTCCAGAAGATCGACTGATTGAAATTCGGGAAGGAGATTGATTGAAGAACTGGAGTTCTTGCTGATT